GCTGATAGAATATCCTAGAAGTTATAAAAAAAATCAACCAAATCCATTAACCACAGCTCATGTTATGACCAAAACAAACTAGCTTAAAAGCACAATCAACATCCCCTAAATTATCAGGTACAATAAATAGCTTTCCTTCTTATTCTCCACCGATGAATCAAAACTAACCGTCGATAGAAGCCCCATCGAAGGGCTGGTATTTAAAATAGAAGAAGGCATCGATCCTTGTCGGGTTCCCTGCACCAATGAGAATTAAGCAACTGAATATTATCCCAAACACACTGAACTATTTAAACTATCAAAATTCCATTGCTTTTCACACAAAAATTCCAATTCCCACAGATTAGAAATCATTCGCTCCAATTAATTTCTTTTCCATTAACTTTACAATGGCCACAGAAGAACCCATTGTCGCCGTGGAACCCGTTCCCGAACCAGCAGTCACCGAACCTACAGTCACCGAACCTCAGGTCCCGGAGAAGGAAGATCCAAAGGCTGAAGTAGAGAAGACGAAGAAAGCTAAGGAAACCAAGCCTAAGAAAGCTTCCAAACCACGAAACCCTGCTTCACACCCCACTTACGAGGAGGTTTGATTCAATTCTTCATTTGTTCAATTTTATTATTTCCTCATGAATTATAGTCTCAATTGGATCTGAATTTTGATTGATTTGATTGAATCGCAGATGATTAAGGATGCAATTGTATCACTGAAGGAGAAGAATGGTTCGAGTCAATACGCGATTGCGAAATTCATTGAAGAGAAACAGAAACAGCTTCCTGCTAACTTCAAGAAACTATTGCTCCAAAATTTGAAGAAGAAAGTTGCTTCTGGAAAGCTTATTAAGGTTAAAGGTTCATTCAAGCTTTCAGCAGCGGCCAAAAAGCCTGCAGTCGCCAAGCCGAAGACAAAGCCTGCTGCCAAAGCAAAGGCTGTGAAGGCTAAGCCAGCTGTTAAGCCAAAAGCTAAAGCCGTTCTTAAGCCAAAGAGTACTTCAAAGTCCAAAGCTGTTACTACCAAGCCGAAAGCGGCTGCTGCCAAGCCGAAAACTGTTACGAAGGCGAAAGCAGCTGTGAAAGCGAAGCCCAAGGCAAAGGCTGCAAAGGTTGCAAAGACATCGACGAAGAAGACACCGGGGAAGAAAGTTGCTGTCGCGAAGCCTGCACCTAAGAAAGTAGCTGCTGCAAAGAAAGCTCCAGTAAAGAGTGTGAAATCTCCAGCAAAGAAGGCTTCCGGTGTGAAGAGAGGAGGAAGGAAGTGAGACTGTGAGAGTATAGTATATCTTTGGATTAACGTCGTAAAGCTCTTTTGTATTTTCTCTTATTTGTAATACTACCAATTTTTAATAATAAAACTTTAATTACCCAAATATTTTCTTGTTTGTTTTACTTTCCATTGAATCAACATGGTTTTTCTCTTAGATTATTTTAACACAAGGATGGTAAAGAGAATCACTTAACCAAAAGTTTACTGTTTTTGATGTGCTTTTATCATCTTCAAGGATTGAACTATATTTAGGCTTTACTTGGATGAATGAAATGAGACTTTCATTGTTCTTTAAACGTGGAATGAAATGAGATTTTCATTGTGCTTTAGACCGAAATGACATGGATATTTGATATATGATGAAGTGGAATAGATTAGGATCAGTTGCAATGAAGTGTTATTCTATTAATTGAATTAGTTAAAATTTGATATAACGAAGTAGAATTAAAGAAGTATTAATTTTATTCCATTACTTATTAATATTATTATTTATTATATTTTTATCTCATCTAATTTGAGATTTAAAACTATTCAACTATTTATCATTACTATTCATTGCCACCAATCTACCATTTATACCCTTTCACAAAATTTTCATTCACACTACTTAAAACCCTTTTATGTAATCAACTAAATAATAATTCATCACCCAATCAGAAGAACCCATTTTGCCAAGTGATACACTCTCCCATTCTCTCTTTCTTTCACCTTCTCTCTCTTACATTTCTCTCTCTTGCTTTTCTCTCTTCTGTGTTCTCTCTTTCTCTCAAAACCCTAGACCGCCTCCGCCTTCTTTCTCTCTCTTGCCTTTCTGTCTTCCATTTTTGTTAATTGCTTATTTCAGACATTTCATCGCATTCATTGCAAGTTACAAGATATGTCGTTATTCGTCTGTGTGTTCATTTTGTAATGACATGGTTTCATTTTTTTGATTTTACTTTGTTTTTTGATTTAGATTTATCATCATCACCATCGTTTTGTTTGTAATGACGCATCGTTTTAAATGGCATATGTATCTTCGTTTTACTATGTGGTATTTTGTGGTTTGTTGTAAGTTGGTTTTACACCGCCTTAATGGTATATGTATCTTTCATTTGCATTGGTATTCCGTGGTTTGTTGTTTCCTTCACTGATACGTTGATTATGTTTTTTTGAAATTTAGATTGGACGTTCCATTCGTATTACTAAGGTGTGTATCCGGATATACGACCCGATATTCAATTAAGCAACAAGTTTATTGGCTACTGATAGTCTTCCTTTTTTTAGGTAATGACAACATTCATGTCACCACCTCCTGCCTCTACCTTCATAGCATTCCATCCCCAAGATAACAACATTATATCCATTGGGATGGAGGATTCAACCATTCATATCTACCATGTCAGAGTGGATGAGGTGATTACCTGCATTTTCACTGCTCTAAACTGATTTTGTTAATAACTCTAATCCTTTATATTTTTTCCTTTACAGTGGAAATGAAATAGGTGTTACACTATGGGATTCCTATGCAACACAATTTCAGGGCTACACACAAGATAACAATAAGCATTCATCTGAACCTACAATTTTCATTCTGACACATGCATGGGTTCGATTAAGTTCGGGTAATTAGATACTACATTGGACTATTTTTAGAGCTATCTCCATTATATCCTAATAATTAATACATCTACTTTTGATTCTTTTCAGTCACTGAAAAGCTGAACCTCTCTAATGCATGGAATGACTCTAATGATAAGTTACATTCTTTGCTGGTTGTGGTCCAAGTTATAGAAGACAATTTCACTATAATAATCAATATTAACTCTAATTATAATAGTATGGTATGGTCCAATATAATCTATTTTAACTACATGTTACATTCTTTTGACGAAGTGTTGTTTTTAAGATTAAAAAGAAGAGAAAATGATACTCCTGTGCTTGGCTTCATATATGGCTTCTTTGATTTCTGTTTCTTTTATACATATTATGTGTGCTTTGAAGTTATTTTGAAGCTTATTCCTTCTCTGGTGCATTGTTTCATTATATTGTTAAAAGTCAATGCTTGAGGTTATTAAAATGGTCCTTTATATCCTTATCTATTCATGGTTGCTTGAGATTCATTTGAAGTTATTTTGAAGCTTATTCATTCTCTGGTGCATTGTTTTATTATATTGTTAAAAGTCAATGCTTGAGGTTATTAAAATGGTCCTTTATATCCTTATCTATTCATGGTTGCTTGAGATTCATTTGAAGTCATGTTTCATTTAGGTTGATCCAATGAGCAAACTGAGGAATTGGAATAAGGGCGATCCATGTGCAGCACACTAGACAGGAATTTGGTGTTTCGATAAAAAGGGCGATGATGGTTACTTCCATTTCCGCGAGCTGTATGGCTTTTTTGTCAATCTGTTTCCTTTTTGTTTCGAGTCTCAATGAATTTTTTTATTTAGAGATCTAAACTATTTTGTCATTGAATTTTACTTAAGCTACCTGATGACTATGAATTTTACAATACTACCATTAATCTATAATTACCCTTACCTTTCAATTTCTTTACACACATAAAAAGGACAAATAGGTCAATGCATAAACATCAAACTTTCTAACTTCTATTGCAATCCCGACACACCATGTGTACATCAAAATTTCCCTCCTACACAAAAGATTCATATTGAATATTTTATTTGTCTCAATTGTCTATCCTTCTGAACCATTAAAATGGGAGTGTTTTTTCTGCTGCAATTGATAAATTTGTTGTTCATTGTGATTTTCAGGTTCACTAACCGTTTTAGTCCGCAAATCTCATCCTACTGCTCTAACACCTAAGTTACTTGCTCTGGTCTTTTACTCATACGTGTTCTATGTCTTTTTTCTCAACTAATGGAAGTACAGAGTTGCATTGTTTCGTCTTTTTACCCATACGCGTTTTAGTCAGCAAATGTATTTTCTATGTCTTTTTTCTTAACTTGTGTTTGCTTTTCATTTGTGCCTCTGTTTTTGTGTGTTTCATAAAGACACTACAAAGTTTCATGTTGTGTAACTTGAGTTTGCTTTCATAAATACACGAATCCCCTGCAAGTATGTCTATGTTTTGACTATGCGGTTTCATTTGTTTTGAAAATGTTAGTTACCTTTTGAACTGTTTTTTTCATTTTTTTTGTTACTCATTTTGTTAGTGTAACTGTTGTGTTTTACCCTTTAATGAACTTGTCTCTTCCCTTGCAATATTTGTGCTTAGACTTGTGTTGCAAATGTATTTCTCATACTACCTATTTTTGAATTTTAGGTTATATTTCATTTTCTAAAGTCTTCTAAATATTCAACCGTGTTCTATTTTTTGTTGTTTTTGTTCTTCTGTTTTTTGCTGTAGTTTCCTATGTTTTTTTTGCTGTATTTCATTTGACAAATTTGTGTTGTTGATGTTGTAACTGTTGCGTTTTTCCCTTTCACGAACTTGTATTTTTTGTTGTTGTAACTGTGTTTCTCACGATTGTGAAAGTTGACATTGAGGTTACATTTGATTTTGGCAATGTTGTCTACATATTCATGTGTTTGTCTATTTTTCTATTTTTCTATTTTTCACGTGTTATCAAAATTGACTCTACATATTCAAGTGTCTTTGATTTTCCCTGTCATGAACTTGACTTTTTGTTGTTCTTTATGTTATCACTATGTTACCTAATTATTTCATATTTAGATGTTAAGGCCTCCAATATTTGTGAGTGACTTGGAGTTAAGAAACCAAGTTTGAAAAATGGTTGTCCGAATTATCGATTTGTGGACTGTGAAGGAGAGGAATGACCAGTTGCACATACAACTTATCATTCAAGATGCAAAGGTTATAAACATGTAATTAATAACAAATGTTTCTCATTCTATTTCTTATCTTAACCATCAACTAATCATAGTCATCAATTCTATATAGGGTCATAAAATCCAAGTCATTACACACCCGAGAGATTACAAACATTGGGTGGATGTCTTGACTGAACATGAATCGTGTACATTGTATAATGGTGAACCATTGAAAAATGATTTGCCTTTCAAGGCTTGTGAAAATAATCTAAAACTTATGTTCACCACTGCAACCACCATGCGTAAGCATCTGAACAAGGATATACCGCCACACCAATACGCCTTCCTTCTATGCTGTTCCCTTCTCCACTGGGATTGAGACATTATATTTTTTCCTTTGTAGTTTTCTGAGACGTAGGCCGTTTTCTTTGAAGCCTGGAACTCCCTACGGTAAACCATTGATGAGCCCCTGTTGACATCAAACTTTTGCCATTTTTGTTGTCCCTGATGCTTGTCTTCAACTGGTTTCATCCAACTTCCCTTTGAAGCCTCAGTCGTTGGTTTGAATGTTGAGGACTTGACTCCTGACACCCTTTGCTTGGTTTCATCCTGCCTCGAAGAGGATCTTCTTGGGTCAAAACCTCGTTGCCCGTAGGAGGTTTTGTGCTCACGCCTATCTTTTTCCTTTCTCACACCCTCTATGTTGCATGCTGCCTTTTTGTCAAACACAACACTGCACCTTGGGCACAACATAACTTCTGATTTTTTTTTATTCTGGCACTTGTGGAGAAAGTCTATGAGGCTTTCCTCCTTCTTTGGGTAAGTCACTTTGTTATATTCTTCTTGTCGACTCTCCTCGTCGACTTCCATGGGGGTTTCCTGTGAGATCTCCACCATCAGCGGCCTTGCCCATGCTGACGATTTCTATGCATCGTCATGATCAAATTCGTATTCTCTATATTCTTAAATCTTATGCTCGTACAAAGTCTTTATTAATTTACATTAAAAATCGAAGATCGAAATTACCATTTGAAATACCTTCCCAACGTGCATTTTGATCACTTATTCTCCTAACTTATTTATAGTCTATCTATGTGTGACTAACTTCTTTTGGACTCATAATGTGTATGGTCATATTATTATTTTTTTTTTTTAATGTAAGTCATGTTATTGTTATCAGAATATAAAGTTTTATCTTATAGTACAACATTTATGTACGGATTTAAACACCTAAGTAGTATACGAACTCCACACAATATTAATAATGTAACAATGCTAACAAAATGACTGCTATTTATTTTTAGAACTTAACTAGTAGAAAACCCGTGCTTCCGCACGAGTAAAATAAATTTGTAAATATATATATCTAATTTTGATAAATATACGTGTACAAGAGTTAAATGAAAGAGAATGCAATTAAAAAGAAATCATAATAAATTAACAGTAGAAAAATTGAATATTAAATAACTAATTTAACTTGATAAAATTGTAATGTTGTCAAAAAATAATAAAATAATAATAAACAATAAAAGATAAATACTACAACAAAATATCGTGTAACCGTGAGCCTTGTACCTAAGTAAGTAGTATGTAACCGTGAGCCTTGTACTTAAGTAGTATACTACCTCCACACGATATTAATAATGTAACAATGCTAACAAAATGACTGCTATTTATTTTTAGAACTTAACTAATGTTGAAAAAACATGATTAATTTGTTGTAATATTAAATTTGTGTGAATGAATGGCATCTGAACATAATATATAATATACGGGTAGGAACACAATACAAATATTCCTAGTAATAACCCTTGTGCCTTGAAAGCCAAGATTCTCCCGGACCACCAATCAATTCTACAACATAAAACACTCATTAGAAAGCTCACAAAATTTTCTACAAGGTGTAAGAAAAACTCATGCAAATCCATGAACCACAGCTCAAGTTAGAACAAAACGAATCTAGCTTAAAAGCACAACTAAATCAATCAATCACCTCCCAAATTACATAATAACATTCCATCTTATTATTCTCCACTAATCAAAAAACACCAACCGTCGATAGCATCCCCATCTAAAGGCTCACCTTCAAACAAGAAAAAAGCTATTAATCCTTGTCGTCTTCCGTAAACCAATGAGAATTAAGTAACCGAATATTAACCCACACACACTTCACTATTTATACCATCAAATTCCCTTAATCTTTTCCCACCAAAATTTCCAATTCGCACTCATCAAATTATTTTCAATTCCTAACCCTCGAGTTTGCCATGGCCACAGAAGAACCCGTTATCACAGTGGAAACCGTTCCTGAACCTCAAGCAGAGAAGACCAAGAAAGCCAAAGATTCAAAGCCAAAGAAAGCTTCCAAACCTCGAAGCCCTTCTTCTCATCCTTCCTACTCGGAGGTTCGGTTTGATTCAATTTCAATTCGACGTTTTTATAATTCTTGCCTTTTATATCACGAATTGTAGTTTCGATTGAATCTGATTTTTAATGGTCTGATTGAAATGCAGATGATCAAAGATGCAATTGTGTCACTGAAGGATAAGACAGGTTCAAGCCATTACGCGATTGCAAAATTCATTGAAGAGAAACACAAACAGCTTCCTTCAAACTTCAAAAAATTATTGCTTCACAATTTGAAGAAGAACGTTGCTTCTGGAAAGCTTGCTAAGGTTAAAGGTTCATTCAAGATACCTCTCGCAACGCCCAAACCGAAGACCAAGCCAGCTGCAAAGGTGAAACCATTGAAGGCTAAGCCGGCTGCAAAGCCGAAAGCTAAAGCTGTTGTCAAGCCGAATATTGCTTCTAAGGTAAAAGCTGTAACAGCCAAGCCCAAAGTTGCGGCTTCCAAGAACAAAGCTGCTAAGCCAAGGGAGAGGCCTGCAAAGGTTACAAAGAAGACTCCGGTGAAGAAAGTTGCGGCAGTGAAGAGCGTGAAGGCTAAGAGCATTAAGTCTCCGGTAAAACAGGTTTCGGTGAAGAGAGGGGGAAATAAATGATCGCCAGAGTCATTATAGTGTTTTGCAATATTGTAAGTAGTATATGGATATAGAAATGCTTTTTGCTGTTAGTTTTTTTTTCTTTTGGCTATCCAAGATTTGTAAGAATAGTCTATAAAATGAAAATACAGATAATTGCACTTTTCATAAGATGTCATTGAAATGTGTTGGTGTAATTACTAAAAATTCTTGTTAGTTGTTCTCGTGCACTCAAAATCGCCATGTATTGGATTTACGTTTATCTACTATATGGTTGCGTGTTCCATGTAAAGTAAATGTCTGATTTAGTAGTATTTATTGTCAAATATACCACTTTTCATAGTCTAATAGAATTTTCTTCAAGCATTGAGCCTCCCTCCTTCATGTTAGCCCTGAAAAAAAAATAAACAGTTGTCTGCAAACAAAAAGTGAGAGTATGGGGGAGCGACTCTATCATCCTTACACCCCGATAATATCTTGCCTCTGATCATTTAATCAGAGAAGATAGACTCTACACAGTGGCAAAACTGAAAATTACAACTGCTGAACCTGGTTCAAATTTGCTTCAATCACTCCAAAATATCAAAGCCACTGACTACTCCCAAGACCCATTTCAGTTATAGATGTATAAGGATTAGCATCTGTCTCAAACATGGGTTTGAAAATGCTTAACCAAATTAATATTCAAATTATTTTACTTTTAAAAATTTAAATTAAATGCTAAAATATAGATATGGATGTTTATTTTATTATTCATATATATACGGATTATTATGTAATAATAATGTTGTTTAATTATTAGATATTCAAATTTTATTATAGATTAAATTTATATGTTTATAATTTTTTTATGTTTCATTATATACATATTATAAATTAATTTTATATTTTGAGTTCTTTTAATTTTTTTTTTAAATTTACAAAAAAATTATTTAAAAACAAAATTCAGATTATTTTTTCAAAATGAAAAAAAACTGCAATTTTTTTTCTATTTACAAAAAAAAATATATTTGGAAATTTTTTCCGAATTTTTTTTTAATTAGTAAAAAAATTATAATTTATTTAATTTTCAGAAATTATTTTCTTTCAAATTTATAGAATTAAAAAAAATTATTTTCAGAAAAGAAAATTTATTTTCGAAAAAAATATTTTTTAATATTTCAGAATATAAATTATTTTTTATTTTTTATTTTCTTTTTGTATTTTGAAATAATTTATATTTTATTTTATTTTTCAGAATTTTTTCTTAAGTTTTTTATTTACTTTTCAAAATATTTTTTTATTTTCTATTTTATTTTAATTTTTGAAATAATTTTTTACTTCTGAAATTTTTTTATTTTTAGTTATTTATTTATTTTCATATTTTTTTAGTTTTATAAAAAAAATTCGTTTTTTAATTTTCAAATTTTTTTTAAAACCTCATAAAATTTGTTTAACTATTTAAATTTAAAAATTACTATTAATTTAATAAATTTTAAATTTATATTTAATTAAATAATTTTAATTTAAATTAAAATCTATTTAAAATCAATTTTAAATCAGTTTAAAACTGATTATAAATAAATTTCAAATTAATTTTTATCACAAGTAATTTTGTTTATAAACAATAATCATAAAAATAAATTATTTATATTAAATATAGAAGAGGTGTCCCAATCCATTTGGAACTCCAAAAGCTAATACTTTGCCCATTCCCTACTTTTCAATTTATCGCATTAGACAGCAAAGACTCTCTGATTGACTATTCTTACCGATTGACAATAAGTTTTGTCCCGTAACCACGAGGAATGAGAGATTGGTTAAAAACTTTTAGTGTCCATTTGTTTTACTCTTTTTTTAAACTGATTTTTATAGTTTAACAAAATTTTGTGTAAAAAAAAAATTATAAAGAAATTTTTTAATAAAAGTTTCAAATTAAAATTTAATTTGAATAATTATTCTTAAGTACTATTTTAGATATTTCATCATTTAATTGAACATTTTTTTGATATCAAAATTTAAAAAAATCACTTAATTTTGAAGCTATTTCAAATAGATTTTCATAAAAATTATTTTTGAAATATAAATTTTTTGAAAAAATTGCTATTTCAACTACCTTTTGATCTTTAATAATGTATGTTTAAAAGAATGTTAAAATTAGTCTTTTATTTTAGAAAAAACGAATATAAAAAAACTTATAATATTTGTTGTGAAAAACGATACTTTCCTACATAGTATAAACGGTTTCTTTATGATCAATAAACACACAAGAGTAAGATTAATGGAAAAACAAGAAGAACAACAACAATGATTGATTATAACTACTATTCCTTACTTTCTCTATAAACAAATTACAAATACTCAAGAATAACAAATAACCCTCTCACTCTAATTAGGATTTACAACACTTAAGATGAGAGACTAGTATGCTATTTATAATAAAATCTAACATACTAAACTAATGTGATTTTTAACAATTATCCATTACAGGCTAACTTAGGGTACAAGCTAACTTAAACAATTGGATCCTTAACACAAGTCCCAATTCGACAACTACATACTAGAACAAATTTTAACTATAGCATGAAGGTCTTCGACAAAAGCATGTGAGCATACTTCGACAACATGCTAAACCTCGATTGACAATACTAGATTTTGATCCAATAGCTCACAAATCTCCAACTTGGAACAAACTCTATAACATCAAGAAACAAACTAGCTTTCTTCATGCAGTTTTATCAACTGCGTACAGTGGAAAAACTTGCAATTGGACAACGTCTTGATGATCATATCAGCAACATTATGATCTGTCAAAACCTTCAGCACTTGACTTCTCCACGCTCGATTACCCCTCTGACTAAATACAAACTTACATCAATGTGCTTCGCTCGCTCATGATAGGCTGAATTCTTCAACAGGTGTATTGCACTTTGACTATCACATTTAACAGTGATACTACTGGTGTGTTTATGTTCTTGCAGAGTCAGTTCAGTTTTTTTGTTTGTCAAAGTTTAGCACAACAGGGGGAGAAAAGTATAGTCTTTCCAAAAGTATTTGGGTTTGTGAACTTGCGATGTATGAAGAATGTCTTACCAGATGTTTTGACATTCTGGTTGTGCTTTGGGGTCTTATGTATTGTGTCTTGTGTCTTATGTGCTACTTCTGCTATATGTGCTTCTAATTTGCATGGCTTCTGTCATATGTGTTTCTAATGGCTTGAACTCTATTAGTTCAAGTTTGTGGCCAAGTTGATTTTCTTGGGCTTCAAAAAAGTTTCTTCTTTCGTTCTGAGAGGGAGATTTATTCCTCTGTAACAAGGATCAGTTCTGTGGTTTAGGGGAGTATCTTGGAAATTTCTGAAGATGTAGGTGAAATTCTTGAAGATGCAGGTGAAATTCGTGAAGATGCAGGTGATGTTCCTGAAGATGCAGATTATCTTCTTCCTCATGAAAACAGTTACAATGGTTACATGTAATGCAACTGGTGTTGATTGGGTTATTGTGAAAAAGGTGTTTTAGTCAAAATTTTCCAAAGGGGGAGATTATAAGTCCCATGGTTTAAGGATTGACACCAATTTTGCTACAACATGGTTCACAGCAGGATGTTATGTGTGATATTGTAACATGCTGACCAACTCACCTTGAGAGCAGATGTCCTAACAGATATTGTAACATGTTATACCAGAACATCTATTCTAGCTGTTTTAATTCTGTGATACTTCTTTTGAAATATATCTCAGTAATTTTCGTAGGTCAAGAAGGTTTATCAGGAAAAAGTTTATGTATCTCCAGCTGTGCACAAATTGCTAAATTTGGATGATGAGACTTTTTAGGAAAATTTTCCTGTTATTGTGGAGAAGATTTTGCAGATGGTGTAAAACTGACAAAATGGAACTGATTGAAGAATCCAAGCCCATACTGCACGAGTCTATATAAAGATACGTACTAAACCTAAAATAGAGAGAAAGGATTATTGTAAAAGAAACCGTGTGTTGAAATAAGGGTTTAGGGTTTGAGTCTTCTTTTTGTGTGTTGCTGTATTGTGTGTCACTTATGTATTCTCTGATACATTGAGGTAGACTGTTTGTGAGCCATTTATTCATCACCTAGATGCTTGAACTTGACTGATATTGTTGAGTTGTAAGCGTCTACTCTAAGATTTTAAGCAAGAGTGTGTTGTACTTGATTAAAACTTTTAAGCAAGATCAAGTATTGTCTTTGAAGTGTGCCTTCTTTGGGTTCATTGTTAAATTTATCATTGCTGTTATGATTGAAAATGAAGTGAGAAGAGATTCTCATACCTAGGAGTGTCTTAGGTAGAAATTGCACTGGGTAGGGATTAAGTGAGAAGTTGCAAACTAGGATTGTTTAGCTTTGAATTGATACTACTAATAGTGGATTTCTTTCATGGTTTGGTAGCCCCCAGATGTAGGTGTTGTTGTACACTGAACTAGGTTAACAACTCTATGTGTTATGTTATTTTTCTGTACCTTTAACTGTGTGTTATTTTGTTCTTGTGTTTCAAACAGATATGAGTGTCTCGACATCTCTTAGAACATCTGATATCTGTATACCAGAATTTCATCTCTTTTTAAACCAAGATCAATGTTGTTGGAGAGATGTTAGTGAAGCCAATATAAATATGCTTCCTCTAGGATTGCTCTTCTAGATTCCGAATCATTTAATACACAAATCCTTTGATTGAATAGGAGAATTTCATCTATGGTTTGGGTGAAGTTAGGATGACCAATGCTAGATTGCAACTCTAAATTCGACAATTGACTTTGCCGAATTCTTTCCTTCAAATCACATGTAATACTCAGGTTGCCAATTAGGACACCAGCTTGATTCCATGCAAATGGAAGATCAATATTCTGAAATCTTTCCAATAACTCGTGTTCTAACACCATCAAATCAGTTATACACATCTCCTTCCGACTTAGCGAACCCTCTACTTTATTTTCTTTTCCTGGATGGTACTTCAACTCAAAGTAATAATCTTTTAGATATTCCATCCATCTCCTTTACTGCATATTTAGTTCC